ATAATATATATATATATATATATATATATATATATATATATATATATATATATATATATATATATATATATATTGTATTAAAATAAATTTACTAATAGTTTTTGAGATTAATGATTTTTTTTCCATATAACTTCAGATTTACTATCAACTTTATCAATTTGTTCTTACCAAATTGACCCAAATCAAAAAAAAAATTCTTACCAAAATAATATTGTTCTCATAAAAATTTATAACATTATATTTATCTTACCAAATTGATCCAAATCAAAATAATATTTTCTTGGCAAAATAAAATAGATAGCGTAGATCTTTTATAATTTAATAATGTTTTAAAAAGTAAAATTTTTTGATTTAATATACATATAAATTATTGTTAAAATTTAATGATATTAACTTATTATCGATATTATTTTAATGATATTAAATCTTTTGCTCATAGAAGATAATGGAAGGAGTATCTTCTTAGATGGTGACTTGGAGAGATTAGATAGTCATTAAGTATATTAATTATGAAATGAATAATAGGTAAGCTTATCTACTAGTCTTTCATTTTCAACAAAAAATTTAATCTAATTTTTTACCCAATAAATTTTTTTTAATCTAATCATTAAAATTAAAAGATATTTTGCATAAAAGAAAATTAAAAGATACTTAAAAATTGTCCATATTGCAATTGATCCTGAAATTTGAAATAAAATCTAAACAAAGAAAAATTCAGAAGTAACGTTGTTTTCAAACGGTAACAGCTTGCGTCATAGACTCTTATTTTGTATCTATTTATATCCTACACCCTTTCATTACAATTCTTCACATTCTTATTTGCATTGTTTTTCTTCAGAAACAACTCTTTGCCGTCTCTTTCTCCATTTTGGTATGCACCAATCTTTTCATTGTTGAATCATTTGCAGCCGGTTTTATGATACAGCCGACTCTAGACATGTACCTGAAGTCGGCTGTACCATAAAACTGTCGTCCTTAAATGTATTTTTAAATGTTTTCTTAATTATATGAAATGAAACATTTTGATGTGATTGATTATATATTAATATGTAATATTAATGTGAATTTTTTTGTGATTTCATAGTGAAGTTGTTTTGAGAGAGATAAATGGAGAAAGGTAGAATGGTTTTGGTGGGGCTTATGTTCTTGCAGTGTTGGGTAGCTATGGCAGAAGGTGAGTATTTGAAATACAAAGATCCGAAGCAACCATTGAATACTCGAATTAAGGATCTTGTTGATCGAATGACTTTGGAAGAGAAAATCGGTCAAATGGTTCAAATCGATCGCACAAATGCTTCTGCTGATGTGATGAACAAGTATTACATTGGTAAGTTTTTTTATTATTCTCATGGAATTTTGTCTTAAAATTTTCAACAAAAAATGATTGATCGGCGCGAATTTGAACCGCGACATAGAAGGTTTTTATGTTTATTTGTTTCGTTATAGGGAGTGTTCTAAGTGGTGGTGGAAGTGTTCCTAAACCGAAAGCTAGTGCAAAGGATTGGGTTGATATGGTGAATGAGTTTCAAAAAGGTTCATTGTCAACTAGGCTTGGAATTCCAATGATATATGGAATTGATGCTGTTCATGGTCATAACAATGTCTATAATGCTACTATTTTTCCTCACAATGTTGGTTTAGGAGCTACAAGGTAAATGTTATACTTTGTTGTATTGAAGATTTCTTGTGTTCGTGTAAATGTCGGTGTCTGAAATCAGTGACATTTGTGATTAGATTTAATTAATTTATTTTATAAATTTATTATCGGTGTCAAGTTTCAGTGTCGTTGTCAAGTTTCTGGTATCCGTATTTCAGATTCAAAAGGTCTTCTCTCATGTATTTTAAGAAAAGTTAAGTTGTGGTATCATGTTTTTTTTGAGGAAGGTACACAATCCAAATAAACAATTATTAAATATGTAAAATATTACAAGTGGTTATGAGACTTATATAATGCAAGATCTTACCTGTAAGATTATGAATGATGTTATCAAATATTTAATTTATTTTAGTATTCATATGTTAATTGTTTTAGGTAAAATGTACATAACATCATGTGTTTTTCTTTTCAAAGTATAGTGGATGAAATTCACCATTTAAAGATAAATGAGTGGGGTGTCGCGGGTTTGAACCTGCGCCCGATGTTGTGTTTAGAGTGTCACTGAAGTTTCTGTATATATCGAAATTACAAAAGCATACTTTGAATCTGCAGGGATCCTCACCTAGTGAAGAAGATCGGTGATGCAACAGCTCTTGAAGTCAGAGCAACTGGAATTCAATATGCCTTTGCTCCTTGCATTGCGGTAATTAAGATATCTGTCAATCACACATCACAAAAAATAGTCGTTAGTTCAAATTCTGCTACGCTATAGCACCATTATTTGACACACTTTATATTGCATAGTATATCGCAGAATGATAATGAACTGTTTAAATTCTGCTACGCTATTGCGTTGAAGCGCGGTTATAACCACTATTTTTGACAACGATATATGTTTGTATAGGTTTGTAGAGATCCAAGATGGGGTAGATGTTACGAAAGTTATAGCGAAGATCATAAAGTTGTTCAAGCTATGACAGAGATCATTCCAGGATTGCAAGGCGACCTCCCTCCAACACAAAAGGGTGTGCCATTTGTTGCTGGAAACAAGAAAGTAGCAGCTTGTGCAAAGCACTATGTTGGTGATGGTGGAACAACAAGAGGAATCAATGAGAACAACACTGTTGTAACCAGGCATGAATTGCTTAGCATTCACATGCCAGCTTACTATAACTCAATTATCAAGGGTGTCGCAACCATCATGGTCTCTTATTCAAGCTGGAACGGAGAAAAAATGCACGCTAATCGCGATTTAATCACCGGATTTCTCAAGAACACGCTCCGTTTCAGGGTAATGTTTCACCTCATAGGCCTTCGATATCATTATTGAGAATGATTACATCAAGAAATTATGTTTTTTTTTTCTTGCAGGGTTTTGTCATATCAGATTGGCAGGGAATTGACAGGATAACTTCACCTGCTCATGCTAACTATACATATTCGATTGAAACTGGAGTCAATGCCGGTATTGACATGGTAAACTACGATTTTTTCAAGTTTATTGATTAGCTTTTTTTTTATCAGTAGGAATCAAACTCGGTATCTGGAGTTTACAACACTTACACCTTGTAATTCTGCAGATAATGGTTCCATATAACTACACAGAATTCATAGATGGCTTAACTTTACTAGTGAAAAACAATGCCATACCTATCACTAGAATTGATGATGCGGTGAAGAGAATTTTGAGAGTCAAGTTTGTGATGGGTCTATTTGAAAATCCATTGGCCGATTACAGTCTCACCGACCAGCTCGGGAGCCAGGTTAGTCGATCGATCGCCTTTGAGTTCAATATGGTTTTATTCCCTACAAAATGATAAAACTATATTTGCACTGTAATTTGACAGGAGCATAGAGAATTGGCTAGGGAAGCTGTGAGGAAATCATTGGTACTATTAAAGAACGGTGAAAGTGCGGATAAGCCATTGCTTCCTCTTCCGAAAAAGGCTTCGAAAATACTTGTTGCTGGAACTCATGCTGATAATCTAGGTTATCAATGTGGTGGATGGACAATTGAATGGCAAGGACTTAGCGGAAACAACATTACTAGCGGTACGACAATTCTGAGTGCAATAAAAAACACAGTTGACAAAGACGCCAAGATAGTTTATCAGGAGAATCCATCTCTAGACTATGTAAAATCAAATGATTTTGAATACGCGATCGTGGTAGTTGGAGAGACACCTTATGCAGAAACAAATGGCGACAATTTAAACTTAACAATATCTGGTAACGGAGCAGACACGATATACAATGTATGCGGCAAAGTGAAATGTGTGGTTGTGTTAATCACTGGTAGACCTGTGGTTATGTTACCATATGTTGACATAATTGAAGGACTTGTTGCAGCTTGGCTTCCTGGTAGTGAAGGTCATGGTGTTACTGATGTTTTGTTTGGTGATTATGGATTTAGTGGTAAACTTCCAAGGACATGGTTTAAGACTGTTGATCAGTTACCTATGAATGTTGGTGATTCTCATTATGATCCTTTGTTTCCATTTGGATTTGGTCTTACAACTAAAGGTGTTAAGGATACTTATTAGAATTCTTGAATCATTTTCCATTTTTGGTGTGTTATTTTTCTATTTTATATGTTGACACCAATTTGGAACTGTTATGTATCTAGCTTGGAATTGGTGAAATTAATTAAAGAGATTATGCTTGGAATGTTTTTAAGCTTCTATTGTTATATGAACAAAATATTAGTATAACTATGTGTGTTGGTTCTGTGAAATCTAAGTACAGATTTTCACTTACCAATTAGTTGTTTGATTCACAGATTTCAAAATATTGCTATTGAAAATGAAATCAAAATAGATGAAGCAAGAAATTGAACACAGATGTACCATCTAGTTTTGACTTATTATTATACAATGTATTCAAGCTAAAAAAGCCCCGTATGTATCATCGACAAAGACGCGGTTTATTCACACAAACATGATAGTGATACTTACAAGTATTGAACATCATGACACACCTTTAACTTGAAGTGTCTGTGCTACGTAGTCCTACGTAGTCGTGAACATCTACTCGACCTTCTCAATGATTACATTACCTTCACCTTCAGCTTCTTTTATTTGTTTTTCTATGTTTGTCTTTTCTTCAAGAAGTGCTTCTATTTTTCCATTGATCTTTTCGAGCTTTTGCTTCAGCTTGCTGACATCCTTGGGTTTGTCCTTACCAGTTAACTTTCTCTTCTTACCGCCTTTATCTTTCTCTTCTTTTTTCTTCTTCTCTTTCCCTTCCTTCTCATCATCTTTTTCCTCATCTTTCTCTTTCATCTCAATCTTTTGTTCAACCAACTCCCTTGAAGCAACTTCACCCTTTTCTTCCTCATATTTGTCTTTCTTTTCTTTTTTCTTTTTATCCTTTTTCTCTTTTCCTTCATCAGTTTTTTCAGAGTCTTTCTCAGACTTGATTTTCTCATCCTTGTTCTTCGATTCCTTTCCCTTTCGTTTCTCCGCATCTTCATCCTTGCTCTTTTTCTTCTCATTCTTGTCCTTCTCTTTTTCTTTCTTATCCTTTTTCTTCTTATTCTCTTCACCACCATCCTCTTCTCCCTTTCCCTTCCATTCTTCCGCATCTTCACCCTTGTGCTTTTTCTCCTCCTCTTTCTTTTTGCTCTTTTCCTTCTTCTCTTCACTATCCACTCCTTCATCTTCTTTCCCCTTGTTCTTCTTTGTTTCATTTTCTTTATCCTTGTCCTGTTTCTTCTTCTTCTCTTCCTTATTTTTCTCCTTGTTACCACCATCGTCTTCATTGTCTTTTCCCTTTTTATCCTGTGAAACCACTTCGAGCTTTTCTTTCTTTTCCGAATTCTCCTCCCCATCCTTGCCGTCTTCGAGCTTTTCTTTCTTTTCCGAATTCTCCTCCCCATCCTTGCCGTCTTTCTCTTTGTGCGTCTTTGTGCCACTTTTTTCCTCTTTTTCTTTCTTTTCCTTTTTCTTCTTATTCTTTTCCACCTTATCACCTAGTTTCTTCTCACCACCGTCTTCGCCAATATCTTCCGAATCATCTGCTTTCTTATCATCCTTATGTTTTTTCTTTTTCTCTACTGATTTGTTTTTAACCTTCAGTTCTACTTCTAACTCAGTCTTATCTTCCTTCACGTCGCCTTCTTCTTCATCTTCAGTCTTGATCTTCAGGGAGAGAGTTGATTTGTCTTCCATGTCTAGATTAGGACGCAAAAAACTTGCCTGAATCTGAGAAGTTCCCAAAACATGTACATGCAAACAAAAAACAATAAAATTATGTTGACTTACTTGATATGATTGAATCCATGACATTAGATAAACAACACCACAGAAAAAATCAAGTGCAGAACATGAACCCTGCCTTGAAAACGATGATCCTATTTGGATAAAAAAAAAAACTTAATTAAACTCTAATTAAACTAGCTAGTAAAACGGAGCTCCCAACAAAGAAAACAAGAATCAATGATGTCATATTCATATATTCTACACTGCAACCAGAATCAAGAGAAACTCTAATTAAACTCTAATTACTCTTCTTCACTATCTAAATTTTCCTCTTCAACATGAACACTTTTCATCCTATATCAAGAGAAACCCCATAGCTATGATTAATCAATACCATCATCATAATGAATCCCAATATCTTAACAACAATTAGTTTCAATTCCAAAATCAATTCAATAACATAAACAGAATCAAACTTTACACCAACATATCTTAGTTTTCTTCTCAGACACAAAAAAACAAACAGAAAGGATGCAAACTCAAAAAGCCATAACATCAACTCAATAACAAAGGTTACCGAGAAACAGATGGTTGGAATTGGAAATTGGAAGTGTGTAGACAGAAATGGAAACCTAAAAGAGAGTTTCTGGAGCGGTTGTTTTTGTAGTGTTACGGTGAAAATGAGGGTCCCAACAACTTCCACTGTTACTTTATCAACATTCGGTGCCGTTTGCATATAAGCTGTTATAATAACAGAAAATTCTATCTATTTTACAATTTTTTTTCAACCAAATCTATCTTTTTTTTATTTTATTTATTTAGATATCAAAATGACCAAATTACTAATATCATTTGAGCTTGTTTAAATAATTGATAACCTAAATTAAGAAGTTCAAAAAGAGAAAAATACTAATATAATAATTAATATACTAATTGATTATAAAAAAATTGATAGTAAATCTATTATAAATTTGAAATTCAAAGGGAGGCCATAGAGATAGACGGAATGGCTATATGATTGAGTTAGACTGTCGAAGTAGAAGAAGGAAGTATTCGACTCATGTAGACGATTGTGCTAGATAAAAAGAGCACACGATTCATCCATTATCCGTATTAGACATTATCATTGTTGTAAGGTAAAGTTGGTTATGTATTTGGTGTCTGTTCTTGAAAATCATAGATGAAATTTTCAGGTATGAGATTTAGTTTGAATTTTCATTATGGGGGTAGATTTGTTAGGGAATGTGTATTCTCTTATAAAGGGAGACATGAACATGCAATATATGACATTGATGGAGCTTCTTTGAAGCTATTGATATATTAAAAGAGATCGGTGATCTTGATCATTCAAAATATAGGTTATGGTGGTATAAAAATGATGAAAATATAGGGTAAAATGTGTTGCAAAGAAATACAAGCACACTCCAAAGAAATTTGTGAATGTTGTTAATAATATAGGTTCATCTAGTTGTGTAGATACTGAGGTGGAGATTAATTATGCTAATGATGAATTGCTAGCAGTGACTCTAATGCTAGTTTATGATGCTAGATTAATCAAGAAAAGGAACCAAAGTATGATAAGTTTATGATGGAGGAGCTGAACAAAAATTATAAGTTCAAAGTGGGACTGAAGTTTATATCACTTGATGAATATAAAAAAGCAATTATTGAAAGGCCAATCTTGAATGGGAGAGATATAAGATTTGTGAAAAATGATAATAAGGGTAATTTGTAAGGGCAAACGTGGGTTTTTGGAACTTGTAAGTAAAGTTGAGAATAAGCACACGTATAAAATAAAGAAATGGTTTGGTACTCACATATGTCCTAGGGTATTGAATAATAGCTCAACAAATTCCAAATGGATGGCTAAGACAGTGGCGGTTAGGATGACATCTTCTTGTGGTGTTAAGATTCGTGATATTGTTTATGAAATTATGAGTAATTTTATGTTGGAATAACTGTGTGTGGGGCATGGAAAGTCAAACAAATTGCAAAAGCTTTAGTTGAAAGTGATACAGAAAAGAAATAAAACTTATTGTGGAGACACTCTGCCGAGTTAATGAGGATAAATTCTGAGAACACTAGTAAGATTAATGTGGAAAAAGTTGGAGCAACACTAGTACTATGGTTTGGTAGTTTTTATTTTTGTTTTGATGGACTTAAGAAAGAATTTACCACAACCTGCAGACCATTTATAGGAGTTAATGAATCTCATCTTAAGACCAAGTATGGAGGGACTAATCTTATTATTGTTGGTAGAGATCTAAATGATCAATAATTCCCCTAACTTTTGGTGTTTGTGAAACTAAAACAAAGGAGTCTTGGAGGTGGTTCCTTATTTTGCTTTTGGAGGACATTGGTCAAGGAAAAAGATGGGTTTTCATTTTTGGCCTACAAAAGGCACTTTTCAATTAATTTTGTAATTCATCCTTATAACTTATATGTATTTTTGAACTGATCCATGTAGCTGATATTAATTTTGGAATTGATCCCAGTAATTGATATGTATTTTGGAATTGATCCTTGTAATTGTACAAACTGAAACATTTTTCATGCTCTTACTTATATGCAATGACTGGTCCGTGAATTTGAAGAAATGTTTGAGAAGATGGAGTGTCGTACTCCAAATTTATCCCGTCCTTTAATAAAATGACCAGGCTTAGGCTTTGCATTCATTTGCATTACTCCATTAGATCATTTAACACATCATGCATCATTAATCAATTAACTTGGCATAGGGATTAAGGGTCTTTGAGATTTAGGGTTTCCCTATAGCTTTGGAGCTCTCTTCTTCGAGGTTGATTTAATTGAGAGTCTTATGAGTCATGGTTTCTACTTGCTTTGAGGCTTGTGATCAATATTTTACAAGCTTGGTTTAATTGGATTTCTCTCTGAATATTGATAGGGTTTGCCTCTATAATCATCATGGGTTTCTTTCTTCAACATTTGGGCTTGTTCATCATATGAGGAGTGATTTCATTAATTACTTGCATTACGAGTCATGCTATTTGGACTTTGTTCGAAGGCTTTGAAATTAGACATGGAAGTTCTTGAGAATTATAGATTGAGGACCATCTTCTTGTGCTTACGATCACTAGTTGAACTAGGGTTTGAATTAGGGCTTATTTCCATACTCGTGTGGAGATCAAGGAATTTCTTTTAGGTTCCACTTGGATTCATGTCATCTTAGGAATTTGGTTCATCGTGGAAATACATGAATCTTTGGTTCATAATTCACTGTTTGGACCGCAAGCCATCTCCCTGGTTCTCATACAAAAGCTTGATGTATACACGGCATAAGCTATCAAGTTTGCATAAGCTATCAAGTTTGAAGGCATTGGATCATTTCAAGTCCATTTTAAAGTATTGGGCTTTTTCATATGTCACCGCAAGAAGTGTATGACATCATACCTCATTACAACACAAAGTCATTATCATTTCATCAACACCATTACAAAAGCAAAATAAAAGAAGCATTGGAATTCAAAAGAGGATTAATTTTCTTGTATTCACAAGTCTTTAAAAGGTGTATGAATACAAGTTTCAATCAAGGTTGAAATCAAGTGTCGTCACATCATCACTTTTGATGTGCAATTCAAGAGAGAGTTTGTTTTGAATATATGAAGTTTTCTCATTGATTTCAAAATGCATTACAAGAGTACTTTTCTACTAATATTCAAGTTTCCTCCACGAAATTCCACTTCACCAGCTTCATATCTCCGTCGACTTTACACAACCATGACTATGGTCCGTTGTGAATTCGTCTTTCTTTAATATTCCAAATGACCATGCTCCATTGTGACTTCGTCTTCCTTTAATTTGCTCTTCTTGAACCGAGCGTTTGACACCAACACCCTGTTGTACCAAGCACAAGCCTGCGTAAAATCAAAAACCAATCAATAGCATTCTCCAACATGTTACAATCGCGAAGATGTTATCAAATTCATTCATCATCATATACATTTCAAGGAGAAAGGCCATATAAATTCTAACATACAATACATCATATCTTTCTAACCTCCATAACTAATCCTACCTTCAAACCAAGCTAACATATATTCTCACAAACCAATTTTCAATCCTGTTTCTTAAACTTTCAGCTTCCTTAACTAACTAATTTCAACAAAGTCACTAGTCCTAGTGTTCTAAACTGCTAAATATTACTAATATTTTATTGCTAACCGAATTAACTATAGCCTTACTTTTTTTTAATTTCTAACTAACTTCAATTTACCTAAACAAATTAGTTTAGTTCATAACCTGTATCCAAATCACAAACTTCAACTCAGGAAACAGCAAAACAAAAATATCAGAAATAGGAATTAAATAACAAAATTGTTTACAGCTTAACCAAAGCTTCAAAAACAAAATTTCTATTCACCTCTAACTAACCGAATTCTCCAGCTCATTCTAATAGCTCATATCACCAAATCCATCTCAAGCGTAACCAACTGTCCTAACAGAAATTAGAACTACCAATAACTAACTAGAGGGTAGAGTTGTCACGACGGCAGAGGTGATGAATCTGCGAGGAAGCGTCGAGCGAAGAAGAAGAATAAGGTGGAACAGAGATTAGGTCATGGCGGTGGGCGTAGAAAGATGACGGAGGCGCTGAGGAAGAATCATCGGAGAAGTGAGTCATTGTGTTGAGGAAAAAGAGAGAGATTGGGTTTACACGATGAAGTTCAAGAGTCACACAAACTTATTACCCTAACTTTACGTTCCATATCCCCTTTCAATTTCTTTTTGTTCTCTTTTTTTGTTTTTTGTATTCAAATAAATAATAAAAATGCTAAATAAAAAATGGATCATGTTGTATTATTGGTTGGATTGAAGCTTTGGGCTGCTGTTGCATACTCCCTCAGGTCTGTGGTATTTTTTTGGGATACCTTGAAGTGCTGCCTTGGACAAAAACAATGTTGATGGATTATTGTTGTTGGACCTAGCTTTCTTGCTTCTGCACACCCTCTGGATTCCAGCTCATACCTCGTTTTGATTCATTGGTTTTGTTTTAATTTTGTTATTTTAATTCTTTTATCAATTTTTCTTTGTCTATATTTCTTGACATGAAAAACTACATAATCAATAAAAATTTGTTAGATCTTCTTAATTGATTTTAGGAATTAATTCTTTAGTTTTCGATAGAATCTTCCTCACATAAAAAACTAATACAAAAATACTTTTTCTTTTAAATTTTTGTTCATATTTTACACCGTTTTGCCTCGTTATTTTTGACGCGTTTGTTCATTGTGCAAGGTACATTTTGGTGTTTTCGATCATGTAATATAACAAGTTGTTATATGATCAAAGCATATGGCTTATACTCGCTTCCGATGCGACACGCCTTATTTCTCATCGTCTTGAGAAATTCATATCATATTATATGTTGTCTGGACGCATGTGATATTTTGTGATACTTTGTGCAGGAACTTCTGATTACACGCTACATTCGCGACATGCGTGTGATTTTATCTTAGTTTGATATTCTTTTTGACTTTGTCTGTTTCTTGGTGAAGCTTGCTCGATGCGTACTCCTTGCTTCTCCATTGCTTTCGTCCGCTTTTTACGATACGCTTGCTTTTGGTATTCGTCGCTAATGCTTTTATATTTTCTCGCAGTTTATCGCATTTCTTTACTTCTTTCTAGATATCATGAGAAGTAGGAAATAAAGAGTGTGCGCTCGAAGTCATTGTTTAAAGTCCTGTAGCAGGCACCACTTTATGTATGTTATTTGTGTTTATTTAAAACCCTACCTTTGAAGTAGGTATTCTACATGTGTGTTTACATTTGTGCATGCGTTATTCCCTCATCCCCTACGGAAGCCCTCAAAAGGAGGCGAGCAAAAAGGATTAACAATCAACCCCCGCAATTTCCTCAGTGTCATCCTTAGCTCGTGATGTACCACGACGCTTCGGAATTATGCAGATCTTGTGTATCGAGTCATCAAGTGGAAAAGGGTTTTGCAACCAATCCCCCACACTTTGTCAGGAGTTCGCAATGGCTAATGCTGACACTTCTCTACCCGCTTGTTTTCTTTGGGAGATTTGCTCCCCTTAACTAAAGCATTTATCTTCTTTTTGTTTTACATCTCATTCTCGCTTGTTTGCTTCAGGTGATCCACTCCCCTTAGCTAAAGCATTTCTCTTCTTTTATATTTTAATCCAGCGTGTTTGTCTCGGGTGATCCGTTCTCCTTGATTAAAGCATTCTGCTTCTTTTCTTTACCATTTCATGTGTGTGCTCTTTCGAGCTTGTTTGTTCACTCGCTTGCTATACCATGTTCCCTTAGGATGTGCTTGTTCCTTTCAGATGCTAGTTAGATCTTAGGTTACGAACCATGCATGATGTTTACCTGGGGATTTGGTAAACAACCGCTGATCCTCCAAATGGTTACTTATTTGGTTACTCGCAGGATCGATCAGATTGATCCTATGGACATAGGTTGATTTTGAAGTTTAATTAATGTGGATAAGGCTTTAAGTAAATTGTTTAAAGTAAATTGCATAAAGGAAAGGCTTGGTAAAATAAACAAGGCTTGAATGTAAAGGTTCGACAGGAATCTTAAAGGGAAAAAGCATGTAAAATACTGGAAAAGTAAATAACTTGAATTGATAAAATTGGTGTTTCACACATACATTTCTCAACAATTCGTTCGCTCACACTGGGTACTTGAATCTAAATGAGTGACTATGTATCTATTGTGAACACCCGCGAGAAACTACACGTCTACTCCTATTTATACAAAAACATTCCAAGTAACCGTCGGGCAGTTACACTGCTTCGAGATCAAGCCACTTGTCACGTTCTCCATGCTCGACGCTCCAGATCCTTGCACGTTCGCACGTAGTAACTGCTGGAAACCGTTTTCCCTCCAAAGCTTTGAATTTCAAACTGCTCCACTCTGGACCATCGAACACGTTCGTCAAGAGACGTCTTCGACGAAAACTCCTTCGATGTCGAAGGCAATCAGCCTTCTTCCTTGGAAGAAATCTTCTAAGTATTTGGCCATCTTTCGACGGGCACTTCGACAGGCTTAGCCAGTCGAAAGCATCTTTCAGCTTTTAATGGCTGCCATCAATCAAAACAAAGGTGTCGAATTTAGGAGCCAACAAATTGCCCCCCAAGAATGCCTTATTTCGACTCTGAAAGAAAAAGGCATTCTTTGAAAACGCCATTCGACACCCGTTTTTCCACGCTTAGTCACAAGTTAACTTGTGCACTTTTTGTTGCTTTTTACCAACTATTGGCAATCCCAAGAAACCATCATTGATTTGATCCTAGGACGTCACTGTCAGTACGGCGTGCAGAACCAAAACATCACTTCATAATTTGTCATTATGACAAATTCAAAAAACGAGGACGCACGCTGCGTCTCTCTGTTTCTGCAGAAACGGCCAAAACAACAGGATGCTGCCACGCGTCCCACTAATTCCTGCAGCATTAAATGACATTTAATGCCCTCGTTATTGGGAATTCCTCCCACTACTATAAATAGTAGTGAATATCCCATTGTGGGACTTTTCACGCACACTAGCCTTCAAACTCCCTTGCTTTCTTGCAAACTTGTTCTCTTTGCAGAAAAACTCTTCCTTTTCCAACTTCAACTTCATCCTCAACAATGGCTTCTGCTTCAACTGCCCCCAAGACTAACGCACCAACTGAACAACTTGCTAAGCCCAAGGTCTTTGTAACTGCTCCGGTAGTGAACGCTACAGGGAAACGAAGGGTCCCTGAACCATCTGACATCTCCGTTCGTGATGCTTACTCGCGTCACTTGATGATTCCGGTTGGATACTCCAACCAAATCTTCGCAATGTCTGGACCCATGAACCCCAGCATCTCTGAAGCTCTGAAGATCAAGAGCTACTTTCCCATTGTCGAGAAACTCAAGCCAGTAGCCTGTGCTAAGAAGGATGCAGAAGACAACGAAGACCCTACACACGAGAAGATTGACCTTCGTTTCTTCAACAGAAGTGTTAGAGTCTTCAGGTCCTGCCCTAATCTCACCCAGGACTATGTCGCTTGGCTAACAAAGCTGGAAAAACATCAAACTCCAGTCTGGAAGGAAATGGGCATCTTTGACCTAGTAATGCTGTCGAAGACAGGTTTAAACTACTCCCCAGAGATGCTTATAGCTTCGATGCTGTTCTGGGATAACTCTCACTTCACCTTTCACCTTCCATGTGGGATGTTAACTCCCACACTCTTCGACGTAGCAGCCATCACTGGCCTTCGACCAACCGGAGATTACTTCGACCCGGAAGAGATGTCGGAGGACCAAATTGGCTTTTCTGAGACGAAGCCAACATTCACCACCTTTATCAACCATTATCATGACCAGTCGACAGACGCAGTGTCAGACGTTGAACACATAGCGTTTCTAGCCTTATGGCTAACTCGCTTCGTGTTCTGTTCGAAGTCTCTGCAAGTGACCAAAAAGATGGTCACTCTTGCCACCCAACTGCATCACCGCCAGAACATCTGTCTGGCAGAACTGATTCTGGCCAGTCTTTATGACTCAATCAGCAATGGGGTTACTCTTTTGAAACATATCGAAGATAGGAACAGTCTGCTACTCGCTGGGCCTTTCTGGCTACTTCAACTGTGGCTTAACGCCACTTTCGAGTCTTTCTTACCCAAGAAGACTCAGATAAATGAACAAGCCCCAGCGATAGCTAATAGACGTATCGAAGGAATTAGGCTGGCTCTACTGACACCTGTGGAAGATGGGCTAGAGTTCCAACAAACCTTCACTAACTTCGTCCTGATGTTCGCTCGAAGGAAGGAATTTGTTTCGACTATGGCTCCATTTGCACAACGAAAGGTGGGGCCAGCATGGTTCACAAGGCCACATCCCAAGGAGTCGAGTGGTCCCAACGTTGATGAGCACACCATACTGTGGGAGGCATTCCTTACCCCAAGGATTATGCCTCTTCGATTTAAGAGTTCTAAGACTCATCTGAGTCTGCTTGCCTATCAACCAAATCTGGTATCTCGCCAGTTTGGTATCATCCAAACCCTGCCTTCTCCCATTTTCCCAAGAGAGAAGTCAATGTTGTACTTCTGCAACGATTATACAGAAGAAGCTGCCACCAGGCATATCGGAAGATATGCTGGTCGAACCATCCTCTCGTTGTTCAACTACCAGCTTAACTTCCTTTGTTCGCCATCTTTTGAAGAATGGTGGAGAAGCTATTACGCTGAGTACTTCTTCGACGAGAAGGACTTCATAGCAGAGTTGCAGAAGTCTTTTGTCCTTGTATTTGACAAAGTAAAGAAATGTAAGTTCATACTCTCACATTACTTTTTATCTTTCTCTTCGACTGCTAGCTTGTTAACTTTCCTTTTCGCTTCCAGTTGTTCGAAAACCCTTGGTCAAGAAGGCTACAGGAGGCCCACAAGGAGGGGTCCCTTCGACAAAACCTCCACCGCCGGCGAAGACTATAGCGCCGGCGAAGACAACAGGCAACCAACAGGGGGAAGGCTCTTCGAGGAGGCCTCCTGCATCGGTAACCAGATTTTCTTCATTTTTCTTCTGGCTTTCGATTTTTTATTTTCGACGTAATTATTCAATCGAATTCCTATTGGTTTTATAGGCCCCTTCGCCCAAGAAAAGGGCAGCATTGGTGATCGAATCGGGGAG